CAAATGTGATGCAAGCACGTTTAACCTCACTTTGATCCCATCTGACCTCACTTCTTCCTTTCATTTTCCATTTAACCACGACCAAGAGAAATGTAGACGACCACGGATGCGCATCAAATCAGAACATATGCGCAAGAGAAACCTTGACTTTACATCATTATTGTACCGGAGGGTTGTTATGAGCATATCTCATATTGTACGTCGGCATGCATAGAAGCATGTCCGTCCACCGTAAGCTTGTTAAATGTGTTCGTTTTTTGCTGGTGGGGCTCCACCTCCGGTAGAAGCCACTGCAGCTGATCGCTGCCACCGATTAAAACACACGCGAAGAGCTCAATCATAGATGCACCCCTCATTCGTAGCTATTGCACGCCGCTCAAAATCGTGATAAAACGGACAGTCTTCGTTGGCTACCCATTCCAGAAATGGCTTTCTTTGCCACCGGCTAGCATTGATCTGGATAAGATGGAATACCAGCCAGGAAGGCTGATCTACCACATCCGTCAGTTTGTGTCTCGGTTGACGAATGGTGCAGCATCCTCAAAATCCTTCGTAACTGGCATAGATGGCAGTGTCGAAACCATGGCTGTCATTTAATTATCGATGCCAACTGACGTCATCCGAAATCATTCGGCACACGACCATATGACGTCACCCGAAATCAGTCGGCACGCGACCATATGACATCACCCGGAATCAGTCGGCACACGACCATATGACGTCACGCAAAACCAGTCGGCACCATATCAGGCCATATCGGTGCTCAAAAAAGCTCAATGTTGATACCTGACGGCCAGCGCTGTTTCGACCACGAGCTTGTTAACCGACCGGTAGTGCAGCAGATTCCGGCACAGCCCAGCTCTTGCCTAGGGAAGTCAGTGGGCGGCTTACCCTCGGAGCTGTCTGCTCCCGCGTTCCGCTGACGCCCTCAGGGATGACCCGAAGCCGTGCCAGAACCTGCTGCACTACCGGACGGGTGGCAAGCCCGTGATTAGAGCGGCGTTGGCCGTGATACACCTCCCCTTGGCCTATTTGAGGCCCGAACGGTCGCGTTCCGTCTAGTTGCGGGTGACGTCAGCGGTGACGTAAAAGGAGCCGTGGTTTCGACGCTTTTGTCTCAGCCGGTGGTAAATATTTCGAAGATGTTACGCCATTCAAGGAGTCGGAGAGACAATTGTTGGATCTGATAGATGAGTCCGTTTGGGTGATATTCCAGCTTATTCGGATCAAAGCTAGCCGGCGGCTAAATCAGTCAATTGATGAAAGGAAAGCCAAATACTGCTATGCGTTTTGTCGGTGTCTTGAGAAGAGTGCAAAAATTACAAAAGCTGCACATGATTACGCAGAGCAGGGTGTGTCAATGATGGAGAGTTTTGCAAGCCTTATAGCCTGTGACAAGCCTTGCAAGCCTTGTAACCTGTTAGCAGCAATGGCTTCTGCGGGAGGTGGAAGCTCACTGACAGAAGATTAGCACATTAATAAGCAACATGCACCGCACACACTATAATTCAAGTAGCAAACAATATAACTACCATGACTAATTTAGGAAATGATTATGTGACCTGGGTGCCCGCTTGATGCATCTGTTTTCAATATAACGTGGTTTGACACTTAAGTTCTCTTCATCGAGGTTGTACAGAGAAAGGACAAAGTGAGGTCAGGTGGGGTGAAAGAGAGGTCAAACGAACCCAGATCACATTTGTACACGCACCATCGACGCACCTCTTTTATCACAAGGACTATTTAGATACCCGTTTCGAGGCAGTTCGAAAATTTTCGTTTTTAAGCATTGCTGCCTCTACCTTCCTCTAGATCCCTTTCCGCTTCAGTAAGTTACACGCCAACTAGATGCCACGGTCACAGATATGGAATCGGCATTGAAAGATAGCGTTAAGGGTTTCGTTTCAAACGCCCGAGCCGATATGAGCGTTCATTTTTACAACGCTTTGCTGGTCTCTCAGTGAATAGCTTAAAATTACAGAATTTTTGAATCCCTGCGCATTGCCTAAAAATACACAAATTTTGACACACAAGAAACTGCTGAAATCGGGTTGTATCGCAGAAATAGACTAGCCCCGAGGAGTGATGCTTTCCCAAACACCGTTATTCTGGGACACCCTGCTGGTCATGGTGTGATTTCATGTGTGTTTTGAGCCGCCATTCTGGATGAGCATTGTGGCATGTCTTTTAAGTGAAGTGGTCGTCAATCCATTGTAGTCACGGCTGCCAACGAAGTTTTAGGTAGAGTTGGCAAGTTAACGGAGCAGATGCTATTTTCTAGCAGCATTGTTGATATGCATAAATGCATATACACATACAAACATATGTAAGCATTCAAGTAGTTTTAGGCAACCGTACGTGTGGGATGTTGAGGAGATAATTTCTGATGGTTGGCTTAAATTTTGTTTCGGTATGTGGGCAATGGGTATGTGGTGGCACCATGCATCTTTTTACTAATAAACTCGCCATATTGTCATAAAACGTTTATATCAGTACCAAAATTCAAGGCTTATAGATTGCATTTCAAAGCAACAAAGTGGATTTGTCTGCGGCCACTTAACACGCAGTCAGGTGGAGATCAAATTGACCCCACCCCCTCAAAGGTTTTTCCAGACTGGTTTCTGAACAGTGCAATGCAGTCGCACAAAATTTTGCATAGAAGTAGAGAACTAAAAGGCGGATCGTTTCATATCAAGAATTTAGATATACCTTGTGAGGTCGCTGACCTACGGCAGGTAAAAGTCAGGTCATGGGCTTGTGAAGTCAATTTCTAAGGGATCGTTCGATATGATATAACAACGGAACGTTAATGGAGACCATACACCCGTGAGATACTTTCTTAGGCAACGCAACAATTGAATGAACAAATTCCATTGACCTAAGGTCAGTTTTGAAGGTCATACCACGATAAAAGCCAACATGTTCTATTACTCTAGGGCTTGCTGACCGGGGTAGATTCAGGTGCACATTTCAAATTTATTGACAACAGGAATCGCATTATATTTTGCCATGCACTTGTTAACGGTCAGAAAAGGTCACTGACCTAATAAGACGGAGGTCAACATTTTGCTTTTAAGGCCATACTGCCCAGCGTAATACTTGTCGCTTATTTTATTTTTCATTTTTATTGCCTAGCGCAATACTTGACCTTTTCGCAAAACTTAAAAGTAGTATTGCATGATTTTAGTCACCATAACCTTCAAAAGACAAACAAAGTCACTGACCTTAAATGATCATGTAACCTTTTGCTTAGAACAGGTATCTAGGTTCTGAAGGCACTTTGGGGACCAGCCTGGGAATTGATCTTGTTTGACCTTCATTTGACTAGAAGTTCATGACCTAGAAACCTTAAACTTTGACCTGAGTGAGTTTAGCTACAGGCCAACACACCCAGAAAATTTGTTGCTTCCAGCTTCCTTAGTTCCTGAGATCTCGGGGGGTCAAATTGACCCCCCACCCGAACAGAGAGTACCCAACCAGCCACCCGGGAGCGTGTAAATTTCCATTTCGCTACTTTTGGACCTAAATGACATCAAATATTACGCCATGTGCCCATATATGTCCTTGGCCTCATCAAACTATATCTACAGGGTGCTTTATTATAGATGTCATTTTCAGAAAGTTTGCATTAAGTACAAACGCATTAATGAGCAGCTTTCTGGATACCACATTCCTTTGCATAAGCGATCATTTTTGTTTTTATAGTCATTGCTCATCTGCCTAACGGCATTTCCACGATATCCCCTGAACACGAACGCACTTCTCCAAAGTTCCAGAATGATCGACGCCTGCTGGTGTCTTGCAAATGACCGACGCCTGCTGGTGTCTTGCAAATGACCGACGCCTGCTGGTGTCTTGCAAATGATCGACGCCTGCTGGTGTCTTGCAAATGATCGACGCCTGCTGGTGTCTTGCAAATGGCATGTTCAGCGGCTGAACGCCGGTTGGGAGCGTTCACATCTAGTTCCCAGGCCATGATGGTTGCGTCATGAGCACCAATCTGAATGTACCGCAGTTTTCAACAATTTTTGCCATATACCACATGTTTGGCCTATTTTTAGAATAATTATTTGCACATTTAAAATTGACATTTTAAGTGCGCGCCCTGTAGCAGGACGCGCTAACTCTCGTCGGCTCTCCCCTCTTTGTGGCGTCCTGTAGCCTGTAATCTCTCGATAACGGCCTTTCCTTGTTTCCCGGAACCTAAACCCAAACTGGGCGTTCCCTGAACCCGTTCGCATTCACCCTCGCTCATATATTCAGCGGGCAGCATCCATAGCCAGCACCATCCAGGCTGACATTCAGAATTCCCCTTTGTTATAGTTCCCATATGTCTGCAACGTAATGACCTGGCCATTCTCCCGCACCTGACTAATGCCCGGCCACCTTAAAGATGTTATCCCTCCCTATCGAGACAGTTTTGGTACGCACCCGGTAATCATCCCCATCTCGTCGTATCAGCCTGCTTTTTTGCCTGTGGTTAGCATTTGTGCGCATCTGTATGCTTATCCTTATCATTTGGACTCATCCTATTGAAATACTGTTGTATTTTGTCGCATTGTCGACCTGTATTCCTCCCTTCGGCTTGTCTGATCGTCTGTCTGTCTCACTCTCTCCCCATTTCTCTCTCTCTCCCTCTCCCTCCCTCTCTCTCCTCTGTCCCCCCCCCCCTCTCTCTCTCTCTCCCTCTCTGTCTGTGTCTTTCTTCATGTCATGTCCTCCCCGTTCTCCGTCGGTGCCGGCCTGTACCGGACACCCGTCATTCCTGGGCCGTTCCCGCGATGCCGTCGGTGTTCCGCGACCTTCCCGGCACGGCCCGGGTCAGGCCCAGGTCATCGGCGCCGGCGCCGGCCGGCCGACTGACCGGTCCGGCCGGCCACGACATCGCCGCCGGCGCTCCGCCGCCGCCCAGAGCGCCAATCAGCGGGAGGCTGGCGTCTGCGCCGCTCTACCAGGCGGGCAGGCTGCCGGCGCCAGCAGTCAGTCCGACTCGGCAGCGCTTCCTGGCCAGTCGGCCCTCCTCGACCCCCGTCGGCCGCACCACCAGCCGCGCCAGACTCGGCCGGCACGTGGTGATAGCAGCAGGCGCGCAGGCTATCCCGCCGCTGCCGTCGTGGTCCTCGGCGAGCACTCTGTGATAGATCGGGCATTACCAGGTGAGTCGGACGAGCGGCGACTCGGTGAGCAGCCCGTCTGCCTCTTCCCCACCTCGTGGTGTGGCTTAGGGGCATGCCGTCGGTGTCCTGATGACAGCACCGAATGTCGTTCCGTTGACATGACCAGCTGGGCAGCCGCTGACAGGTGCGAGACGGGGCGTAAAAGACTGCGACGCGCAATAGGTCCCCTCGGTGGACTGCATCACATCACACAAGCATAGCACGGTTCAAAGCTGCCGAACATTTTCTTAGGTTGATGCCATTCATCCGTGTGTCAGTTGAAAGCTCCTACCATGTCCATCATTTGCTCACAGAGCACCGCGTTTTTCCCCACTAATACCCTCAGGTTTTCTGGTTGAGGAAACATATACAAGCCGCTAAAAGATTCTGGGAGCATATGAATGGGAAAAGATAAGTGGTAGTAAACACCTCTTGAAGTACCTAGATCATAATTGGGTAGTTCTTAAACAATTACTCCTATCCAATAAAACCAAGACGTTTCGTAACGAAAGACAATGGTGTAACGGCTACTCAGTTCTTGGTTTTGAATCGGCAGTCATCCGAATGCAATAACTTTAAAACCAGTACTTCATGATTCCCTGTAACATAGATATTGGCACAGGCTCTACAATCCAGAAAATTACCCGTAAATCGGATTACAGATTGGACTACCAATTATCCTGCGTAAAGGTTGCAGGTCTCACTTTCTGCTCAGTTAGATTGGGGCTTGGAAACTCATACGCGAAAACAAAGTCAAGTATCGTATCGTATTGTGCAGCGTTCAATGGCGCGCTCTGCCTACGCTGCCATTCAAACTTCTAGCACGCTCCACTCAACGCTGCGGGTGCATGAGTCACGCCATGGCATTGTCGCTCCGATAATCTGATCTATTAAGCCTGCATGAATGATGTCATAAACATTCTGAGCAATGATGTAACTCTGGCAGCAAGGACAAGGATAAGTACGTTAGTTCCCAACCCACAAGATTATAGCGTACTCATGAGATATCTTGGCGCGGTCAAACCGGTTGTATTGATCTTGCGGTCTCATACATGGATGTTCGTAGCAAATCTTAGTCCTTTCTTGCAATCGAGCTGCAGTGGAGGTCATGTTAGGCACAAAAACATCGCTGTCCCTGACGAAATGGGAGCCTAACCCCAATACGCTCCGCATCATTCACCTAAAAAAACAGCTCAAGCCATTATTTCACCGAGCTACTATTTGTTGCACTCCCTGACGTTGTGGGATAGATGCTCATGGCAATAACAGCATGTCAGTATAAAGCTGTCAGGGACAACGGTTATGGCAGGCTGCGCTCCAATCTTTTAGCATTAGTTTTAAGGCATATAGGTATTTATCATTTACTGATTCTCCACGTTAATGCGAGGATTTTCAAAGGCGAAGACCATGTCTAGATGATCTCTTCTTCTTGAGATAACTAGCCTCATTATGGGTGTTTATCTCAAGGGCACGCTGGTTCAACGCGCTGGTGCAGGCCAGGGAAATTAGGCAGTGCAACTTCTTGGTTTTACTGCTTTCCTGCTTGCTGTTTACATTAACCTCATACCTCTCGGCGCCGGAGGTGGCAGAGAGCTTCTCATCACGGCATGTCCATGCTTTTGAGATAATAATCGTCCCTGCATCTTTCTGGTAAATTATCGACGCCCGTACCAAATTTCTGCCATCAGCAGCCGCCGAACCATTCTGGAGCTTCCTGTCACGGTGTCACTTGACCTCATCCGAGTAAGCCAGCCGGATTCGGCGGCGAGCCGGCGCTGAGGCGGCGGCTGCCGCTGCCGGCGCGGCTGCCGTGCCTCCGGTGCTAGCCGGGGTCAGCGTCAGGACGCGCCCTTGTCACGGGCCGCTGGCAGAGCGCGCCGCCGGCCAGTCACGAGCGGCGCCGGCCGCCGGCGCGTCACGTCTGCCGCGCGGTCGTCCGCCCCGCGCCGTCATTGTCGCCGACGACTGAAGGCGACCGGCGCCAGGAAGCGATGAGTGCCCGGCGGAGTGAACGCTCTCGCCGGTATGTCCATCGCCGCCTCCCGAGGCGCGAGCCGTTATTGAACTCGGGAAGGACGAATGGGTTACTCCGAGTGGCCGCGACGCCGAATTGGCCCATTACTACCGCCAGAGACAGATTAGTGTACATAAAGGTGGGTGATTCTGGCGGTGTGGGATGCACTCCATCTTGACTCCCGGTGTGACAGCTTTCAAATAGGCCCGCTGCCCTCGGTCGTTGGCACCAGGGCTCAGTGCACCCACCCAGGCTCCGTCTCACCAGATGGTCGCCGATCCACCAAGCGTCCGTGTCCCGCCGGACATGGTGTCCTGCCAGTGACCCCGTGACTCGACATTGTCGGTGCCGGGCCGAGCACGCGCCGCGGTCGCTGCAGACCGGCCGGCTGGCCAGCCAGTCATCCACCTGACCCCCGGCATCCCGTTAATCCGGGGTGGTCCTGGCGGCAAGTCAACAGCGACCGCAGCCGAGGTCGCACCGGCGAGGGTGTCGCCGGTCTTACCGGTCGGCCGAGGAATTAACGCGCCGCCACGGTCACCGTTATGGATATACCATGGCCGGTCCGATCTGGGCCACGGAGTCATGCGCCTCACGTCTCCTCTCCCACCGGGATAGGGCGGCCAGAAGTCGTCATGCGCCTTACGTCTCCCCTCCCACCGGGATAAGGCGGCCAGAAGCCGCCACGCTCGCGTGGTGAGGCAGCAGCTTTATATGGTGTTAGTCCGTTATTCCAGGGGATTAGCTTGCATTGAATGGCTTGTCCAGACGCGTGAAATACCGGTGGACCTGGGGCCGGACGCCGATCCGTTTTAATGATCCCAGATAAAGCATGGGACGCGGGACAACTGCATGCCTCAGGCAAAGGCGTGCCTTGCTGGTGCCTAATACCCAGAAATAAACCTGCTGAGCCTGATCCCTCCGACGAATCGATTGCGCAACAGAGGCTAGGTTAGTCAAAGGCTAGATTAGTCAAAAAGCCAACAACGGTCTGGGCTTTTCCTGAATCGAGTTTGTGCTCCGATGCTGCAACCACCCTTAGCTGCGGGCAAACGCAACCGGTTTATTTACTCGGAGATAGATATCATCGATTAATAGGAGTATTGACATGTCTCCTGCGGCGCCTGTCTGGGCGTGGGCGGACGACTCTCGAGCTGCTCTAGAGGAACGACTGGCTGGCGTCATGAGGTGCTGCAGGCGTCAGGTGTTACGTCATGAGGTGCTGCAGGCGTCTGGTGTGCCCAGAACTCCAGCCCGCAGTAGATGCAAACGAGCCTTGGGACTTTTATGTGTGCACTGATACCTGTTAGCAGCAGCCTGTTGTTGACGGTTCTTGGAAGGGCAACGGATGTTCTTGTGTCGCTCCTGGTATTGTTCATACTAAGAGGTTGAGTTCCAGAACTTTCAAGGCGCGATTTCAGCAATTCCTTTCTAATATCATAGAACATGATTATCTTAACAAATACAGCCGTTTGCACTCACATGCTGGGATCACAAAATGGGTTTACAACGATACATAGTTGCAACAATGCCTTACAGGCCGCTGGCCCCACCTTCACACTCATCAGCACCTTTCACCCGGTGAGACAACCACTAGTCGGTGCAGGGTGGGAGCCGTCACGAGCTACTAACACGATCTCCGTGGCAGCCGGCGTTCAACGACCCGCGCCAGGCCCAATCCATCACGCACGAGACCGGCCGCCATTCAGCCGCGGTCGCCGCCCGATATTGGCGGATATTCGGCCGCGCGCCAGTCACCGCGCAGGCAGAGGACAATGCTGAGTCAGCGCCGTCTCATCTGACGCCGACGCAGATGTGGATTCCTCGGACTTCCCGAATACCGACAGCCGCGCCTCGCGCCGCCCCAATGGACGCAGGGCCGCGTGTAATAGATTCTCAGTAATTATCTAATTTCCGTCGTGTCCTTTTCCAATCAGCGAGTTCGACCGGCGTGAACGTCATGCACCTGGCGCTAAAGCGCTCTTGGACGGCTGATGGCAGCGGCTAAAGGTGGTTGTCTTCGATCATATGCACACGGAGCTTGCTACGGAAACTGCTCAGCAGCGTGCATATGGACAGTTCGCACCTATCTTTATAACGGAGACTTGGGACCTTTGGGCTGGCATTGTTTGGTGTCGCAAGTCGTGAATTTAGCGGTCGTGATACCATCGCACTTCTTTTGTACACACAAGTCACTGAAAACAGCCGTTTTAATTACGGCTTCCGCGCTCTGAAATGTAACAAATTCCAGCCTGCTGGTCTGCTCATTGTCTTCACACTTCTAACGGATGTCGGCTGAGGGCAGTCGGAGCACAAAACCAAGCGGACGGAGGCGGCTTTTTGCGGCGCCGAGCAGCGTCCGACAATACCAGTCGCTTCGCTGTAATATGCATGCGTTAGATTACGGTTGGAACACCTCTCTCGCGCCGCGCAGACCCTCGCCAGGCGCGGTCACAGATGGCGACACAGGACGCGCGAGGTGCTCGTGCACACACCAACGGCCCTTTGCGCTCCCTGCTGCCGACGCGTCGACCCTTGTTGCCGGGCAGCGGGTGTGTCGGTCTGGAGAGGGTGTGGGGGGGAGGTGTGATGCTCTAGACTCCGGCCTGCCTCCGACCCGCCTGAAGAAGAATGAATATTAATCAGCCGCGAATTTGCTTATTCAAATGGGCAGGTTAGCGCAAAATATTTGCACAGAGCCCCTGGAGAGCCGGGCGACGGCGGAAAGGGCAATACACTGAAGACGGTCCAGAGGAAGGGGGGACCCGGAGGGATGGTGCGGCAGGTGTCTGGGGAGAAGGGGGCCGGGCGAGCCCAGGCCCGGGGGACGGTGCGGCAGGTGCCTGTCTCTGTCCAGCCGCACTCTCACGGCCAGGGCGGGCCGGGCCAGGATGTGTGGGAATGGAGGACGATTAGCCGGGCCGGCCTCATGTCGAAGTGGCGTGCAGCTAACCAGTCGTCGGAATCACCGGCAATTACTCTGCGAACCTCTGCCCGCTACAAGGTTACCCGCCGACTGAAGGACGCGGGGGTGGGGAGGGGCCGGGCAGCAGCTCATGGGGATGTCATGCTCACGCACACGCACCCGCCAATAGCCATACGAGGTGTTGGCAGATGTGGGTGGTAACCGATCATGCCAGGAATCGTGTTGTTTGTACGGGAATCAGCTCGAACAGAATTCAAAGCCGGGTATATTTGTACGCATCTTTGTTATGCCGCCTGCCTGTATCTTCTCGGATAAGACTGACCGTGGCTGGCGGGCGCAAGCCAGCTGATATATGATGATAATCCCGTGACTCAGAGTGCATTTTTGGCTCCGGCTGACCCGAGGGCACGTGGTCAGCATGCCGATGCACCCTGCAAGATGCTTTTGATCTCGCCTAGGCCCGCCAGATTAGCGCGATATACATGGAGCCCTGTTTTATGGGTGCTTTGTCCGGGCCGCGTTCCGGGCAACAAGCGCGGGAGAGGTGCTGCAGAACAGGGTCCGCCCAAGTGGCGCCACGTGGTGGCGCCCCGTCCAGCGGCGCATCCTCTCTGCGCCATGGGAACGCCGCACCGTCAAGGCCGATCTGCGCGCGCGGGCGCCGGCCGCCATCCGAGCGAGCAGAACGTCTTCCGGGCGCCGGGGATGAGTCGACGGCCGACCGGTGGCGGCGGACGCCGCCCGGTAACGGTAGTCGCCCGGCCCGGCTCAGGACGAGGCGTTCACACCCTCTGTTGGTCGGAGCCGCGGAGCGGCGAGACGGATGGGCGGCGCCGCGATCGCCGGTCACAGCCGGCCGCCTCTCCAGTATGTGCCTCCGCCAATCCGACGTCTGAAGGCGCCACACCGCGACCGGGGCTAGTGGCCGCTGCGTGGCTGCAGTCTCTGGTGTTATCTGCCTGGCGCCCGGCCGTTGGCGTGGTCGTCGCCGCCGCCGCATGATGCATGAGGTGTATTTGAAAGTCAAGGCTGAAGCAGCACGGGCAAGGGCCATTTACGGCGTCGCTATAAATTGTCCGCAAAAGGCCGTTGTGGCAGAGGTCTGTATGTCGGCATCCTCCATGTGCGGCTCATGTACAAGGCACACGGGGTGAAGAATGCGAGCAGTTGTCTCAATGTTATTCAAGGCTGCATCACCAGTTATGTTTATTGTACTGAACAAGCTTTTTGAAATTTTTGCCATGCCAATATATTTAAATGCAGAAGTAGCATCTGCATCCAAGGGTGCAGGTGGTAGATGTAAGTGCAGAGTCGGCGCTCATTCTGTCTCTTATAGCATTGTCCACCGCCTGCTCAACGGCATTGTCCCTCCACAAGTGTTCACATGTTCATTTGCCATCACCGACATGGGGTCAGGTCGGCACTGGCGACAGGCGACAGTGAATGAGCTGGGGAGCGTCGACCGCGGCTCTCGGGGCTGGCGGCCGCCGCTCCCCGGCCGATGAGAGGATCCTGCTCGGTCGTGCCGCCGCCGCCGCCGCCGCCGCCGGCAGCCGGACCACCTGTCGTCAGCCGTGTCAGTGACCCCGCGGCTGCCGACTGGCCGCCGGGTCAGCCGGTCCGCCGGCGGCTGTTAGCACGGCTGCCGAGCGACGCTGTCCGCTCGGCCAGATTATGGGCCGGTCACGCGCCTTCCGGCGGCTGCGGTCGCGGTCACGGCGCCCGGCGACGGCGGCCCCGTTCGTGGAGCCGTCCTGGCACGGCCAGCCCTCGGAGCTGGCCCGGACGTGTCCCGGTCGGCGCGACTCCTGATCCTGCGGCTAATGCTGCTGCCTGCTGCCTACCGGCTAATGCTGCTGCCTGCTGCCTGCCGGCTAATGGTCGCTCGCTGTCATGAGGGTCGGCGTTGGGCTTGTACTGGCAGCGTCAGAGTCGGAGGTGGGCTCGTGCTGGCGGCGTCGGGTAGCAGATTATTTTTGTGGGACAGGAGGAATGGCGGTGCTGGTGCCGCGTGCCGAGGCGTTTGCCGCCAGCGACTGACCCCCCGGCCCCGGTCTGTTGCAGGATGGAGAGCGGCCAGTGGGGGAGGTGGCTCCCTCTGCTGGTGCTACTGGCGGCGTCCGTGATACCAGCCAGCTCAGGTACGCAAGGAGTCAGGAAGCCAGCAATGGAGTGCATATGAGACCACAACTGCTGGAGGGCCACGCACATGCAATTCACACAGCTGAAGATGAGCACGATGTGACAAAAAGGGTACCTCGCGTCAGCATTCCTATCGGTTTACGCCTTCTCCGTGCTTTGTAGGCAGTACGTCTAGGCCGCTGTAGTCTGCTGGGATGGCAAAGTCATCACGCTGATCAAACATTATGAATCTGCAGCATTTACGGGAAGTGCGTCAATTTCAATACAAATGCGGTATGCATTCTTCCATTTCCATAACACAACATTACCATGCAATATATTATACGCAAACACATGCATGACCTATGCATGCATGACTTCCTTGAGCGGCGGGGACAAATCAAACAGAAGGTAAGCTTGGCAAGGCCCTGCAGACGAGTCGAGACGGGGGCTGGACTTTAAGAACAGCCGCCAATAGCTCTCACAAGGAAGGAGAGGCGTGGGTTTCCTGAGGAATGGGTACCTGTCTGGACTGTGAAAATGTGCTTGTGACTTTCTGGCTATGGGTATGGGTACGGGCGGGAAGATCAGAAACGACTCGTAAAGCCTAAAAGACACCCAAAAAATCATGGCATTGGCTTTATATTCACTGTCACCTACATCATTTGCATAAATTTTGCAAAAGCTGGTTCGTGAGGAATGGCAGCGGCAGTAGCATGCGGCCAAGACACCATGTAAAGCGGATGACTTTTAGCAATGGAAATCCTACCACTGAGGGCCTCTGCCGGGCACCGACCCCGCAGGCATGCATGGCAATGCAGCCCGCACCGGGCACGGAACAACGGGGAGGGAGCGAGGGGAGGGTGAGCGGAAGGTGCAGCCAGCAGCTGCAGATGGCGGCGCCCCCCCCCCCCTTCCTCACCCCGCCACTCCGTTGCCCTGCCACGAAGTCTGACAGGTCCTGGTGGTGACGTTGACCGGCTGTGAGTGGGGTCACCACCCGACAACCCTGACCCCTGCTCCTCTCGACATAAACCAGCCGCCCGTCTAGGTGGCAGCGCTTCTGCTGAGGCGAGGCGCCGCCGGCCATCAGTCATGAATTATGGAGCCCCGGCATGGGCGCGGCGGGTGCCAACCCGCCCGGCACCCCTCAGCGGTTCGCGAATGGCGTCCGCCGCCGCTCGTGTCCCTCCGACGCCCAGCAGAGCGTGCAGCGCCTGTCCGGCCGCGATGTGACACGGTCTGGCACGTGACCAAACATGAGACCAATCAGATGAACGCGCGGACGTGGGTTGAATGCTGGGCGCCGAATGCTTGATTGCGTTCGAAATAGGTACGCCGTCACTCCAAAAGCACTGTTTTAATACACCACTGCGATGCGATTGCTGTACACTGCTTCGAGGCTCTAAAGTCACCGTATTGCCCTTTGAAAGCCAATGACATTCATAATCAAAACGCATCAAATCAATTCTGGCAGCATCCAGGCAAGCAGCACCATGCACTTGATATGAGCCATGGAACGGCTCGCATTTTACATCCCAAAGGCATGAAAACGATAAGCCATATGTGAGTGATCATCTTGCTGAGATCGTGATTTACACATGGTACTTAAGTCCCATTCCTTTGCATTTATATATTATAGGGGTGGTTGCCGCTGCAACCACAGCCAGCGTTGTGCCCTAAAATCTCCCTTTTCTTGTTATTTGCAAAACTCAAAGTTTCCAGAATAAGATGTAAAGCAAGCGCCGTACTGTAACGAAATGTTCTGAAATGATGACACGGTGGAGAGATATTTCAACCCTGTTAATCCTGTTCTCGTGCCGGCAAGACCAGTTTTGTCAAGGCGAATATCTGTCGCAGTTCCTGGGTCAGTGCTCCGTATCAGCGCCTACGCAGGAATGTTACATTCCGCAATGATTAGGTGCTGATGAGGTGACGGACGATATATCCGGCTTATTAAGCACTTCATTTGTCTACGTCTAGTGCGAACTGCTGATCCTGCGTAATAAAAGCGCTGTCACAACCTTCACCTGTTTGACTCTAACACAAAGTGGCGTGTAACGCACTTGGCGCGACGCAAAATGTACTTATCAACCAGGATCCTTTTCTGGGCATTATTTGCGAACCGAACAGTGACGATTTGTTAGAGAGCTCTTCGATAATGCGTTTTTGTAAATTCCTTGTGACTCATTTCAGCACAGTTAACTGCAACTTTGCAGCTTCATTGGTGATGTTTCCGAACCAGATAAGTTCGTAGCCATGCTCTTGCTGTAATTGCGATCATTCTGTTTTTCAGCACCACTTGAGTGGGATGAAGACGAACCAGGTACGTTGCTTTTGTTCTGTTAATGTGCGATAACTTCGTGCAACTTGAACGATGTCTTCCGCAACTGTACGCCAAAGCCCACAATTTCATCAATGCAGAATTTACGGCCATTGGTAATGATGGATGCGAGCAATAAAGCTATCGAATTGGCTTGTTAGAGCCATAACAACATAAGCATAACGACAAATCGTATGAATAACTCACCAGTTTTAGTTCCCCGTCAAATAGTCGGAAGTCTTCGAGATTCGAGACGACCCTGGCTAACGACGGCCCTTGTCTCCTGTGGGCCAGCTGACTGACCTTTGACCCGCGCCGCTCCAGGATGCTTTCACATGATGCAGCACTACAACAACGGCGACCAGATTGTGACGGACGAGCCGTGTCTGAACTGCACCTGCCGCAACAACATGCTCATGTGCTTCCTGAAGGTGTGCCCCTACGTGATGCCTCTGACGAAGGGGTGCTCCATGGAGAAGAAGCCGGGCGACTGTTGCGCCACCGTGACGTGCGAGCAAGGTCAGTGGTGGTGCTTTGGACCCCATTGGGGTTTTCGTGGCGAGTTCAACTTAAGAAGTCGCTTTAACAATGTCTTTCATTGCGATGAATACCACCGTGTATTCTCGCGCGACGCGGGAATACAACGCGTTTTGAGCTTAATAAGCCAATTGCTTGTGGCGGACTGAGATCGTTGCGTGATGTCAGTCGCCCATTTTATGCCAGCCGCTGCTGACATTTGTAGAGAAGTTGTAGATGCTCTGTCCGGGTCAGTCGAATGGCCGGCAGACGACACCACGTATAGCTTTGCGGAGATGCCCGTTACCTATTACTGCTTACTGTTTCGTCCTGTCTTGTCATTAGAACAGCCGGTGTCCATTGCCTCGACGAAATGTTTTTGAGTGCTGACTTGTGACCCACTGACGTTGTGTTAGGTCACTTTTCTATTTGTCTCGAAGACCCTCCCCCACGCCCAAAAAAGAAGGGTTATCTTAACGCAAACAAAGACTATCGTCTTTGATCATTCTTTGGTGTCCATGAGCACTATGCCGGTGAAACAAGGACTATGTGAAAAACTTTAAAGCATTGGACAATGGTAAAAGCCTTTTCTACCATGGTGGATAAATTCGTCAAAAAAATCATATTCAGGAAGAGATGGTAGTATCGGGCCCTAACCCCTCCTAGCCCCCCCCCCCCCCTCCCCGCAGCTTTTACACAAATCGCCGCCGCCGTGAGGGACAGTATGCTAATGCGAGCGCGGTGTAGTGGCACCGAGCTCTTTCAACAGCGGCGCCCGTTAAAGCCGGCTGGCGATAAACACTGAGACGCCGGTTTGGTCAGCTGCAGCTTGACTGCCTGCCCCCCCCCCCCCCCCAATGGGCGGTGCTGGCGCGCCATGGCAGGGGTCAGCCCCGCCGACGTTGGTAAGATGGGCGGCTGGTCACTCACCCCAGGCCTGAGCACACGCGACGGTGATGTCATGCCAGCACGGTCATCCAGCCGTCTGCGGGCCAGACGCGACCGGTCTGTCGCCGCCGCCGCCACCGGGCCCGACTCGTTGCCGGCCAAATCGGGTGGCGCTGCCCTTCACATGGTGATGAGGATGTTATGTGCGGAGCATTGCCAATGTAAATTCAGATGTTCTAGATCAGCGCTTGATGTATTCATGGCAAGTCCTTGATCCGCCCCTTGTGATCATTTTGTTCAGGAAAATTATTTCCGCGCGTGCTGGTTGAAAATGTCGAAATACCACAAAGTGGAGCGTTTGTAGATGCGCGGCATAAACACGCGCTAGGGAAGCCGGTTTGTTGATGCGCGCTATAAACACGCGCCAGGGAAGCCGGTTTTTAGATACACGCTATAAACACGCGCCAGGGAAGCCGGTTTTTAGATGCGCGCTATAAACATGCGCCAGGGAAGCCGGTTTTTAAATGCGCGCTATAAACACGCGCCAGGGAAGCCGGTTTGTAGATACGCGCTATAAACACGCGTCAGGGAGGCCGGTTGAATGCGACGGGACCAAGCGGACCGGGGGACCGGGGGTCGATCCGCCCCACTGATATCTAACAAATGAAGAGAGCTAGACGGACGAGACATAAAATTTGCAAGGTAGGTAGGGCTTTATGTGAACTTACTAGTGTCAAACTATGAGGTTGCTAGGTCATGACCCTCGGGTCACATAATTCACGCAAGGAAAAGCTCCAAATTGGTGACCGAAGAGCCTACAGACCTCCCCATGCAACCGCCGTTACTCTAGATACCCCTTCTAAGCACAAGGACGCTGGTTATAACTTCTGGTCAATGGCCTTTTTATACATTCAAGAGGATGCAGAAAGCAATTGTTCTTATTTTTCACCTAGGTCAACGCCAGGGATTACGCTGGAAGTATGTTTCTAAAAACAAAAGCTGGTCGCGGTCATTTTAGACCAGTAGCCTCCTTTGGCCTTCATGAAGTTCAAGTAAGTTGTCTTTTCAGGTTTCTGCGATCAAGAAATTATCAAAGGCAGTCATAGGCTACCCGATAAAGCAAGAATTTCAAGACAAAGTTATTTATTTCAACCTCATTCTGCCATTGCTACCTGGCTCAATATCAATGAAATGAGTCGAGATTCTAAATGAGCTGTTTAGTTGTCTAAAATACAATCTAAAATATGCATGAATGAACACAGCCCTTGGTTTACACCGAAACATTGGCTGTTCAGTTACCTGCAAGAACGACATTTGGCGCTGCTACGCGGCGCCGCTTGGAAGTAATTCGAGAAACCCTTCAGGGGAGGGGAGGGGAGTCAAGTAGACCCCCAACCGAGCTCGTGACAACATCAGGCTTACATGTGTTTGACCCCGCCACACATCCATAACCAGCCTGGGATCCATCAGACCCCGACGATCAACATTTCGCGCAGTTTCCGCGCCACCAACCCCACAACTGCTCTTTGCCCGGCGGCTGTCGCCACTGACGCTCGCAGCCGCGAGCATGTCCAATATCGCCGAGAGTCGGCCGGGCCTGTCGGATTCCGCCGGCGCAGTCGGCGTGTCAGCGATCGATCGCTCTGCGGGCGACGCCTGAACGCACGAGTTGGCGCGCGCCAGGGTGAACACACACCCAACGAGGCCCGACGGCATGGCCAGACGCGCGGCCGGCGACCCCCGTCTGGCGGCGGTCGCGCGTCGCTGCCGCGCCTCCCAGGCGATGTCGCTCTGATCGCCATGCCGCTCTCGTTGGGCGTGTACAGAGGACGGGAAGCCGTCGCTGGGCGTGTACAGAGGACGGGAAGCCGTCGCTGGGTGTGTACAAAGGGCGAGACAGCGCGGCGCACTGAACCCTGCGTCAGCTGGTGGCCCCGCTGCTGTGGCACCCGTCAGCTGGTGGCCCCGCTGCTGTGGCACCCGTCGGCCGGTGGCCCCGCTGCTGTGGTACCCGTCAGCCGGTGGCCCCGCTGCTGTGGCACCCGTCAGCCGGTGGCCCCGCTGCTGTGGCACCCGTCAGCTGGCGGCCCTGCTCCCGTGGTGTCCGTCAGACCGTGTGTGTGTGCGTGTGTCTCACCGGCGATGTCCTCTGCTCCGCAGTTCCCGTGCCCATCATGCAGATGCTGGGCATGATGAACCAGACGGCGACGACGGAGGTGCCGCCGACCGCGCTCAGTCCGCTGGCCGTCGGCGACGCCGGCTGCCAGGTGGATGGACAGTACTATGCTGATGGCGCCCAGGTCAGTGAGTGGGGGATCCCGGCGGTTGGAACGGACGGGGCGCCGAGAGTGCAGGGCAACACCACACGACAGGGAGACGGGTCAGCCAGTGGTGATTCAGGCCATGGTCCGCTTCGCGCCAATTTGGTTTTTTATTGATACTGATGGTAGATAGCATTTTACATGTAAGTTCAAGATTATTTGTGATCAAGGATGAACGACTCAAAAAGGCAAGAAAACAAAATGAAAGAAATAAGCTCATAAACAAAGTCATCGAAGTTACCCCTTACACGGGGTGCTGTACTGTGTCTATGACCATTTTCAGATCACTCGTGTATGTCCAAGCATAGTTTGAGCTTTTTATATTCAACAGGCGCATGTCAGCTCATATTTGAGACCTCCTTTTGTTCGCCTTCACCTCCGGCGGGTAGGTGATATTTGGCACCTGACATCCTGGACCGCCTCCAGGTGCCATCTGACCCGAATGAGCCCTGCGACGTCTGCTACTGCATCCGGAACCACACAGCTTGCGTGCAACAGGAGTGCACGATGAGAGTGCCCGGGTGCCAGCCTATCTACGCGGAAGGCATCTGCTGCCCTGTGCGATACGTATGCGGTACGTAGCCAGCGCCATCTGCACAGAGTGCTCGGGCAGTGGTGACATCTAGTGAGCGATCTGTGCCTTGAGTGGAGTATCGGCGTGTGGACGGCGTCGAACCCCAAACATATGACATGCATTTGAAGTTCCTGAAACAGGTCTCTTGATGGATGATGCCGGTTTTACTTTGCTTCAAAAGAGGCTTTACTGAACAGTGTCCTTAGAATCTAGAACCTCAGCATCAGACGTCTACTGCGTGTGATGCGAGGAGTTAATCGTGAAAGTGATTTCAGATTACGAGACGACCACGCTAGCTCCCATCACCACCCTCCGGCCGGACGCCGGCAACACCGGCTGCGTGCAAAACGGCGTGTTCTACAACGACGGCGACCAGGTGTGCAGCGTTTGTACCATTCGAGGGGCTACGATAGCCGATCAGTGTTTATGTCCTTGGTGTCATTGTCTTACTTGGATTCACCAAATTTCCGAAAAAGTTGACAAATAAACTGCACAGTCAACCCAAAGGAGTGTATCAGGGTCTGTATACATGATAATGAAGCTGATGCCGCTGTCAGAGGTATTTCCTGACCTAATACGCTCTGTCTCTAGATTCCCTCGGAGGACCCGTGCCAGCACTGCTACTGCATGCACTCGGAGGTCAAGTGCGCCATACAGGACTGTGCCTCACCCCTGGACCACGCCCACGCCCAGTGCAAGCCGGTGCCTCCGTCGCCGGGCCAGTGCTGCCCTGACCAATACAACTGTGGTGAGTACACGCCCGAGGCGTACCCGGCGCGCCTCTGCGTCTGTTCAGGCTGACTCACAGCACTTGCCACCAACTCCGAGAACATGTCTTATAGCGTATGTTCATCCGTTCCTCTTACTATTCACTCACATTTCATGATCTTTTGCGAGCTTTCTGTCTGCATTTCCTCCAATGAAATAATGCTGTCGTTGCATTTGCAGTTACACCTGAATCTTGCTTACCTTGCTTCTTCCCTACATTATTTTTCTTCCCTAATTCTATCATCTCGCTCTTGCATTACAACGAATACCAAGACCACATATCATGCACATTTCATGCATAGTACTCCCTCGGCATTCATTCAACGATCACTGCTTACGCTGTCCTTTACTGAATAGCCAAACTGCTTGATGATTTCAGGCAACACATCTCGACAGATACAAATACAGGGACGGAAAGTGGGTAATGCACTTATTCTGCCAAGCAACGGTAAACCTTACCTTTATGCCGCACTTGTGAGGTGAACAGGACTGCATTATATGTGAAGCACAGCTAGCGAACACTGCACCGCACGCTCGGTGTTCCAGACTCACAAAATGATCCTGTCTAGCACTTACCGAGTGATAAACCCTGACTGGGCTGTGGGCTGCCTGCATGCATCCCAAAGTTGCCTCTAGCATGAACTGGCCTGGCTACAGTATTTGCAAAGAGATGATAGTGATGATCTGCCCTGCTAAATGATGCACACAATCTGTGTGCTGAATGAAAGACATGATGTGCTCCCTTATATGCTGACAGACTAAGAAACGGTAAAGATGTTTCCGTGCGCATACATGTGGCCTAGTGCGGTAACGAAATGTGCTTGATGTTTGGATATTGCCAAATGTCTGGGCTCAGTCCAAGAGTTTCATGTCGCTCAAAGGCTAATGAGTTTGCACTTCTCAGGCAAACGAGTCACACAAGCAAGCGGTGCAACGTTCTCAACAACCATTGCAACATCGTCATCAATGTCCATACGTTTTCAGGTGGTATTACTCACGGCGGCGGCAGCGTCCCTCCCGGTGGCGCGGCCACTGACGGCGAGGAGGCGGCACAGACCGAGGAGAGCAGTCCGCTCGAGCAGGCCACCACCGGACATGGTCCAGCGTCCGAGCAAGGTTCAGAGGGCGATACTGTCGCGCCGGCAGGTGGCTCTGCCATCGAGCAGCCCTCGCAGACGGGGGAAAGTGGGTTGATCACGGGAGTGGACACTGTCGAAGGGGATCAAGAACCCGGAGAAGGAGCAGCTGGTGACGAAACCGAGCTCATTGATTCGCAGGGCGTTGTCCAGGTTCCTGATGAGGAGATCGAGACCAGTGGAGACGGCTTACAAACCGATGGCTCGGGAAGTCGTTCCGGAGACCGACGGCTCGGGAGCGCTTGACGAATCATACGTTGAAGGCATTCTGCCCGGAGTCGGAGTGGAGGGTGGACAAGCCGAAAGTTCCGGCGAAACTAGCGGACCACCCAGTGGGTCCCCTTGACGGGGGAGCTCCTGCTGCTGAGGGCAGTGGAGAGATCACTGAAGATAGCAGTGGAGTCACCTGACGGGGGAGCTCCTGCTCCTGAGGGCAGTGGAGAGATCACTGAAGATAGCAGTGAGTCACCTGACGGGGGAGCTCCTGCTGCTGAGGGCAGTGGAGAGATCACTGAAGATAGCAGTGAGTCACCTGACGGGGGAGCTCCTGCTGCTGAGGGCAGTGGAGAGATCGCTGAAGATAGCACCGCTCCGGGTGCGGATGTTGGCACAGCTGAGATCCCTGTTGATGGCGTTGACTCCAGTGGCGATTCTGCTGAAGGAGATCGCCCGCTCGAAGGAGACGAAATTCTGAGCCAGGGAGATAACACCGTCTCAGGCTCTGGAACCCAGGAAATCCCTGGTGCAGGCGAATCGGTCTCAGAGGTCAGTGGCGAATCTGAGGTAACGGAGGGGGCACCTGGCTCGGGAGAAGCAGTTACTGAGCCCCTGTTTCCTTCCGAAGACGAGCTGGTAGGATCTGGAGGCTCCAGTGACGATCTTCCTGAACCTCTCGGAGAAGTTGGCCAGGATGGTGGTGAGGTCACCGATGAAGCCACCGAAGTAACCGTTATTGAAGGAGGAGAGAGCTCCATCCTGGAGGGGAGTGGCCAAGAGTCTGCTGTTAGCCCCGTGGGGGATGCGGACACGCCGGCTACAGAGGAGGCTGTCCCTGGCTCAGAACCTGCTACCGGAAGTGAGACCACTCAGGAATCAATCGATGGAAGCCCTGAGGGCTCTGCCTCGGGTGCTGACATCGATGAGGAATCTTCGGGTGGCACTTATGAAGAAGACGATTCTGGTAGCGAGACCACGGAGAAACCCACAGATGCGGTTAGTGAGGGTGTTGATCCTGGAATTGATGTCGACGAACAATCATCTGGTGAGATTTCTGATGAAAATGTTCCTATCAGTGAGACCCCTGGAGGAACTTTGGTTGATATTCTTGAAGGGATTGTTCCGGGCAGTGAGCCCACCGATGAATCTGCTGAGGAGTCAACTGCGGGTATTGTTCCTGGCGTTGATGCTACTGAAGAGTCCTCTGGGCAGTCTCCCGATGATGCTGCTTCCGGCGATGGTATTACTGCCGAATCATCGGGTGAAGTCGCTGAGGATCTTGAACCCGGCACTGGGACCACCGACGGGCATGCCTCTGGAGACCAGGCATCTGAGGAAGTCGCACCGGGAGCTGACCAGGCTTCTGAGGACAACGCACCGGGAGCTGACCATGCTTCTGAGGAAAACGCACCGGGAGCTGACCAGGCTTCTGATGAAGACGCACCGGGGACTGACAGCACTGACGAGTTTGTCATCCAAACCCCTGGCGGGGCCTACCCTGGCGGATCGAGCACCGACACCTACCCAACCGAAACTCCGACTGGCGGTTTTCCTAGTGACGTCACGTCACCAGAGACACCAGGAGAGGGCTCCGGGGACGACCTGTTCCCCGTGACCGAGGCCGGCGGCGTCACTCCGGGTCTTCCGACACAAACGCTGCCCCCTGGCCCAGTCGGCATCATCTCCGAGACTGCGGTCGGCGGTGCGGACGCCACTGAGCAGACCCAACCGACCGGCACCGGTCAGCCCGCAGGCGGGGACGAAAACACACAACAGCCGACAGGTGAGCTCTTCCAGCGATCTGCCAGCGGGCACGTGGTTTGAAAGGAACTCATAACCAGGCTGATATTTGCGTTGTTCAAATCATCATATGTAAAGCCACATGCGTGTGCTCAGGATGTTTTGTGGGCGAAATGTTAAACGCACTATTGAAATGTTGGTAACTTTCCCCTCCTACTCGCATGTGCATTATTTTGTGCTGAAAACCATTTCATGATTTCAGTTATCTCTACTGAGGTGCCCACCGCTGCTCTCCCTGAGTCTGAATCTCAGACCTCGGAGGAGTCATCTGAGCTTGGAGCAGACGGACCTTCTGGCGAAGGTGAAGTCGAGACGCTGCAGGAAGGTCAAGACGCGTCCACCAGCACCGTCATTCCTCAGACAGATGGGGCTACCAATGCCCCGCTCCCATCAGGAGACGGGGACAGCCAGTTGGTGGAGGGCTCCGGAGGCCAGACAGTAGGAGAGGAAGGTGTTATTCCGCCAGCAGGTGGTGACCAGGAACCAGGCGTGCCTACCGTTGGAGAAGATGGCGATGGAACCGAGCCGGAAAGCCAGAGTCAAGATGGCGACCTCACGATCATCGATACAGATGGATCTGGTATTGAGATCGATGAGACGCCTGGCTCGGGCGCGGGAGAGGAAGCCCCCTCAGACCAGACAGCTTCTGAAGTCACGTCCTCTTCTGGAGACGAAATACCTGTCGAGTCTGACGCTGCAGATGGCCAGTCTCAAGGACAAACGACTGGCGAGGATGGCACGATCTTCGTCCTTCCTGGAGGTGGACAAGGTGGGGAATACCCTGGTGTGGACGGTGTGTCCGATGGCCACGAGGGCTCTGCTTCAATGGCTGAAATACCCGAGAGCTCCAGCGAACAGATCGGGGAGGATTCGACAGCGGAGACCATTGAGGGGACCATCAACATTCCATCCATCCCTGACTCTGAGTTTGAGCAAATTGCCGGATCCAGCAACGAGGTGGAGGAAGGGAAGCCGACCGACACACCGCTGCCTGACAATCAAGGCGAGGAGTCTGGTGAGCTAGAGGACGGATCCGGCAGTCTTGGACCCGCCAGCGGGCATGGTGAAGACGGCCCTTCTCCAGACGAACTACAAATCTCTGTGCCAGGCTCAACGGTGGATGAAGTGGTTACAGAAGCTGGGGAAGCTCATGGCTCGACAGAGACATCAGGCACTGATCCGTCTTCTCAGGATACCGAAGTTGACCCCAGTACTGACTTAGAGTCTGGTTCAGGCGCTCCGGTTGCCGGCGGTGAAAATGCTGAGGCAGCCTCGGATGGTTCGAATTCAGCCGTTGATGCACCCGAGATTTCTGGTGACGGAGATAATGTTGAGTCATCTGGATCGATTGAACACCTTCCCGAGCATAGCGGGGTCAGTACTGAACGCCCTGGTCCTGGTAGTGACCTTTCCGAGTCTGAGCTGGTGGACGCGCAGACCGAAGAGTCTGGCCAAGGTCCTGAAGCATCGACGGACGAGTACCCATACCCTCCAACCACTGACAATGAAGGTGTTGCAGATCCCGACTCAATTACTCAAGTGATAGAGACGTCTGGAGATGAGCTGATGCCGGGCAGTGACCAAAGCTCGATCGAAGGTACGCCATCCGGAAGCGGGGGTGACCTTCTCATCACGGTCCCTGATGGCACTCAGCCTGACGAGGGTCTTGATGAAGATGAATCGGAGGAGGTGTCTGGTGAAGGGATCGATTCACCGGTACCTGCTGGGGAAGGAGAGGAGGGTGGGTCTCAAGGGGAAATTTCTGCGCCAGGAACTGACCATGCAGCGCCTGCAGGCGAAGTGGGATCAGAAGAATCACCAGAACATGCTGATGGGTCTGGTGTATCCGTAGCTGACGGTGAACTGATCAACATCAGCATCCTCGAGGGGTCTGGCGACATTCCCACTTCTTCTGGAGAGACACCAGAAGCTCTGGAGGGCGAGTCCATGGTTGATGTCGTCCCTGGTGATGACGTATCTACAACTACCGGACCTGACATACTCTCAGGATCAGAAGCCTCTGGGGATAAGCCTACCTCAGGTGATGAGCAGGCCATTCCTCAAACCTCCGGTGAAAGTGACGGTGTTCCGGAAAATCCCGAGGACCTAACTACCACCGATATGCTGCTTCCGGGCCAAGAGAACCTTGGTGTCGGTGATGAATCCGGCACTGACGAAGGTCAAGAAACTCCTGCGTCTGGCCAAGAGCCAGCTATCACCCAAGGATCTGGAGCTGGGGAAATTCATGCTCCTGTAGGTGAACAAGGTTCGGCTACGATCGAGGGCACCGAAGGTGAGGAAGGTCAGGTTCCTGGAACCGTGACAGACACAGGCACTATTGAAGGATCTGGGAATGAAGATCAGCAACCAATTGGTATCGAGGTTGTGGTTAGCATCGAAGGGTCGGGAGTTGACGAAGGTGATATCCCGGGCACTGAGGAGGAAGGAAACGTCGTTGAGGGCTCTGCTTCCGAGGAAGATCAGCCATCCGGTTCACAAAATGTCCCGATTGAGCCTGGCACCACAGAAGAGGGAGCTTCCAACGAACAGACCTCGACCGCACAGACCCCAACCGAAGGCGATTCAGCCACAGAGATCCCCACGTCCCCCACCACGAAGCCTACAGGAAGTGGGACTGGCGCCCAGCCTACCTACCCCGTCACTGATATCGACATTGGACCGTCCGGCATCGCATCGGAGGTTGATTCCGGCTCTGGCGACGTGACACCGGACGGCGATATCGAATCAGCCCTCATTGACGCGCTGAGCGACGCCCTCGGGCTCGGCTCTGGGGACGGCCACGACCAGACGGAGACTTCCGGAGACCAGCTGATCTCTATTGACGGCAGCGGACCGGCAGTGACGGAGCAGGAGGTCGGAGAGGGACAGCAGGGCTCAGGTGGCCGTCCCGTGCAGCAGGAAGGCGTGGGCGAAGAACAAACGACGCCGGATAACGGGAGCGTGATTCAAGGATCTGGTGATGCGTCTGACCCCCACGCGGATGGTGATGGAACGGAGCCTTCCTTCGGCAGTGAGGGTGGTGCTCAGGGATCTGGCGAAGTCCCCGCTCAGGGCGGTGAGGACACACAGACGCCCATGATTGAGGGTGTTGGTGAGATCGAGGGTTCTGGCGAGGATCCTGCCGGAAATGTTCCAGACAGCGTGTCTGAATCAGCTACCGGTATTCACGGACTTGTGCCCGGTGTTCAAACCACCGAGGCTCCTGTCATCACCGAAGTGATCCCCGGCTCTGGGACTACCGATGGCTCCCAGCCCGGCGAAGTGACCCCTGGCTCTGGGAGTACCGACGACTACAAGCCCGCCGAAGTGGTTCCCGGCTCTGAGACTACCGATGGTTACCAGCCCGGCGAAGTGACCCCTGGCTCTGAGACTGCCGATGGTTCCCAGCCTAGCGAAGCGATCCCTGGTTCTGAGACTGCCGATGGTTCCCAGCCCGGTGAAGTGGTTCCCGGCTCTGAGACTGCCGATGGTTCCCAGCCCGGTGAAGTGGTTCCCGGCTCTGAGACCACCGATGGTTCCCAGCCCGGCCAAGTGATCCCTGGCTCTGAGACCACCGACGGTTCCCAGCCCGGCGAAGTGACTCCTGGCTCTGGGAGTACCGACGACTACAAGCCCGCCGAAGTGGTTCCCGGCTCTGAGACCACCGATGGTTTCCAGCCCGGCGAAGTGACCCCTGGCTCTGAGACTACAGATGGTTCCCAGCCCGGCGAAGTGACCCCTGGCTCTGAGACTGCCGATGGTTCCCAGCCTAGCGAAGGGATCCATGGTTCTGAGACCACCGATGGTTCCCAGCCCGGCGAAATGACCCCTGGCTCTGGGAGTACCGACGACACCAAGCCCGCCGAAGTGGTTCCCGGCTCTGAGACCACCGATGGTTCTCAGCCCGGCGAAGGGATCCCTGGTTCTGAGACCACCGATGGTTCCCAGCCCGGCGAAGTGACTCCTGGCTCTGAGACCACCGATGGTTCCCAGCCCGGCGAAGTGACTACTGGCTCTGAGACCACCGACGGTTCCCAGCCCGGCGAAGTGACTCCTGGCTCTGGGAGTACCGACGACTACAAGCCCGCCGAAGTGGTTCCCGGCTCTGAGACCACCGATGGTTCCCAGCCCGGCGAAGTGACCCCTGGCTCTGAGACTGCCGATGGTTCCCAGCCCGGCGAAGTTGTTCCCGGCTCTGAGACCACCGATGGTTCCCAGCCCGGCGAAGTGACCCCTGGCTCTGAGACTGCCGATGGTTCCCAGCCCGGTGAAGTGGTTCCCGGCTCTGAGACCACCGATGGTTCCCAGCCCGGCCAAGTGACCCCTGGCTCTGAGACTGCCGATGGTTCCCAGCCCGGCCAAGTGGCCCCTGGCTCTGAGACTGCCGATGGTTCCCAGCCTGGCGAAGTGATCCCTGGCTCTGAGACTACCGATGGTTCCCAGCCTGGTGAAGTGACCCCTGGCTCTGGGAGTACCGACGACTACAAGCCCGCCGAAGTGGTTCCCGGCTCTGAGACCACCGATGGTTCCCAGCCCGGCGAAGTGACCCCTGGCTCTGAGACTGCCGATGGTTCCCAGCCCGGTGAAGTGACCCCTGGCTCTGAGACCACCGATGGTTCCCAGCCCGGCGAGGTGACTCCTGGCTCTGAGACTGCCGATGGTTCCCAGCCCGGCCAAGTGATCCCTGGCTCTGAGACCACCGACGGTTCCCAGCCCGGCGAAGTGACTCCTGGCTCTGGGAGTACCGACGACTACAAGCCCGCCGAAGTGGTTCCCGGCTCTGAGACCACCGATGGTTCCCAGCCCGGCGAAGTGACCCCTGGCTCTGAGACTGCCGATGGTTCCCAGCCCGGCGAAGTGGCCCCTGGCTCTGAGACTGCCGATGGTTCCCAGCCCGGCCAAGTGATCCCTGGCTCTGAGACCACCGATGGTTCCCAGCCCGGCGAGGTGACTACCGATGGTTCCCAGCCCGGCGAAGTGACCCCTGGCTCTGAGACCACCGATGGTTCCCAGCCCGGCGATGTGACCCCTGGCTCTGAGACTGCCGATGGTTCCCAGCCCGGCGAAGTGACTCCTGGCTCTGGGAGTACCGACGACTACAAGCCCACCGAAGTGGTTCCCGGTTCTGAGACCACCGATGGTTCCCAGCCCGGCGAAGTGACCCCTGGCTCTGAGACTACCGATGGTTCCCAGCCCGGCGAAGTGACCCCTGGCTCTGAGACTGCCGATGGTTCCCAGCCCGGTGAAGTGACCCCTGGCTCTGGGGGTACCGACGACTACAAGCCCGCCGAAGTGGTTCCCGGTTCTGAGCCACCGATGGTTCCCAGCCCGGTGAAGTGACCCCTGGCTCTGAGACTGCCGATGGCTCCCAGCCCGGCGAGGTGATTCCTGGCTCTGAGACCACCGATGGTTCCCAGCCCGGCGAAGTGACCCCTGGCTCTGAGACTACCGATGGTTCCCAGCCCGGCGAGGTGACTCCTGGCTCTGAGATTGCCGATGGTTCCCAGCCCGGCGAAGCGATCCCTGGCTCTGAGACTGCCGATGGTTCCCAGCCCGGCCAAGTGACTCCTGGCTCTGGGAGTACCGACGACTACAAGCCCGCCGAAGTGGTTCCCGGCTCTGAGACCACCGATGGTTCCCAGCCCGGCGAAGTGACCCCTGGCTCTGAGACTACCGATGGTTCCCAGCCCGGCGAGGTGACTCCTGGCTCTGAGACTGCCGATGGTTCCCAGCCCGGCCAAGTGATCCCTGGCTCTGAGACCACCGATGGTTCCCAGCCCGGCGAGGTGACTTCCGATGGTTCCCAGCCCGGCGAAGTGACCCCTGGCTCTGGGAGTACCGACGACTACAAGCCCGTCGAGGTGGTTCCCGGCTCTGAGACCACCGATGGTTCTCAGCCCGGCGAAGTAACCCCTGGCTCTGAGACTACCGATGGCTCCCAGCCCGGCGAGGTGACTCCTGGCTCTGAGACTACCGATGGTTCCCAGCCCGGCGAAGTGACCCCTGGCTCTGGGAGTACCGACGACTACAAGCCCGTCGAGGTGGTTCCCGGCTCTGAGACCACCGATGGTTCTCAGCCCGGCGAAGTAACCCCTGGCTCTGAGACTGCCGATGGTTCCCAGCCAGCCGAAGTGATCCCTGGCTCTGAGACCACCGATGATTCCAAGCCAGCCGAAGTGATCCCTGGATCTGAAACGGACGAAACCGTTGCTGGTGTCCAGCCGGCTGACTCGATGCCAGGAGAGACCTCTACAGACCTGCCTGCCGGTGGAGAACAGGAACAGACTCTCGAGAGCGCCAGTCAAACGGAGGCCGAGGACAAGGAGGATGGGCCGACGGCAGCAGTGCCCGGCGAAGGCTCGTGCCTGATTGACGGCGTTACCTACGGATCAGGCGTCTCAGTGCCTACCAGCAGCCAGTGTCAGATCAGCTGCGTCTGCTCCAACTCGGTCATGGAGTGCAAGACTCGCAGCTGTCCTGTTGCGCCCACGGGCAACTGCCGACCGTACTATACCAAAGGGTCGTGCTGCCCCGCTTACGATTGCAGTGAGTATTAGCTTCGTGCCCAAGGATGGCAATGGAGTTTGATTAGCGGTTTTTATTTAAAAGGTCTTGGATAAGCCAGAGGATATCTTTCAAGTGGTTTCTGTTGAAAGCAATATATTGTAATGAAGTAAAGCGAACATTTATCACCGCGCGTAAAATCACGGTGGCCTTTGTTACCTTTACAGCTGCAAGATGCGCACGATACATTTTCGTTACCACTAGCATTCTGTGGATTCCTCGCTCACCTGCCCTTCCTTCTCCACAGGTAACACGGTGGAGCCCCCCGTCACGCTGCAGTGTTATCTGGACGGCGTGATCCATGACGAGGGTGACGTCATTACTCATCCGGACCCGTGCAAGTACTGCCTGTGCCTGAGCGGCGAGGTGGTGTGCGCCACGCAGGTGTGCAGACGGCCAGACGAGCTGGAGGGCATGGACTGCCGCCCGCTGGCGGCCAAGGCTGGGCAGTGCTGCCCTTCCGAATACTCATGCGGTGAGTACGCAGGGAGTCAGCCGAGATCCCAATAGCTGTGAATAACGCTTACTTATGTTAAAGTCACGAGAGAAAGGCATGAAACTGAGATACATATCACAGTACGTCACTAGTCAGCTGTATCCAGCGATAACAAACCGTGATAACATTGGGAAATTTTGATCGTGGTTATATGGATGACTTCCGTCGCATGTCTGCTATCCTTCTGGTTATGACTCTGGGCCAAGTTTTTTATAATTTATACATGGGACTGTCGTTTTGCTGTTACAGACATCTCGGTGCTGGAGAGCCTGAATCTGACGGCGTCAGAGCTGCCCGGCGGCGTGTCGTCTGGTTCTGTCGTCGTCACTACGGAAGGACCGGGCCAGGAGGTTATCAGCGTCTCCACCGCAGCCCCAGACGTCCAGTCACCCTCCACGGAGGGCCCGGGCATCGAACAGCCGAGCACGGAGAAGCCAGCATCGACTAGTCAGGAGGGTGAGCCTGGTAGCGAGGAGGGTACCTACCTACCTCTGCCGGGCGAAGATAACATCCCTGGTCACGGCTCGCAAGAAACGCCCATCGATAGCAACATCGATGTTTCCGGAGGCAGTGGAGGACAAGGTGTGGACGACAACGTCCTTGGAAGTGGGGATCAGCCAATAGACACTGCTGAAGGTTCCAGTCAGACTAGCGATGAAACCCTAGAGGGTGAAGACAAGCCTGTGGAGGGTGAGGAAAAGCCCACGGTGCCTACAACAGAATCGGCTGAGGGTGAGGAGAAGCCCACTGATCCCGCGGCGGGATCTTCTCAGGTTGCTGTGGAGCCTGCCGAAGGCGATGACGGAGCTGCAGAGGGCGAGACTAGTCCCACCGATGCTGTTACTGGAAACACTGAAGGCGAGAACAAACCAACTGACCCTGCTTCCGGATCTGACCAGGGTCCCGCTGACCAGCTGGTGACAGAGGGAAGTGGATCTCTATCTCAGCAAGGCAATGATCCCAATACGGGCTCAGAACAGATCATTGACAACGAAATCGATATTGAAGATGTTCTGGAATCCGTAAGCGGGGAGCCAGATGCTGGTGTACAGGGAAGTGGTGAGGATCCCGAGGATTTCACACCCGAATCCGTCGATGGTGTTTCAGAGGCTGGTGAAGGACGTTCACAGTCCCGGCGATCCTGTTGCCGGAGGGGTTGCCGAGGGTGTTGATAAGCCAGTGGACAGCAATGAAAAACCCGCAGAGGACGTGGATAAGCCTGTGGATGCTGATACCAGGCCTACAAGTCCCGATGCCGGACCTGGTCAGGAAGTCATCGACCAGCTGACGACAGAAGGCAGTGGACCTCCCTTCTCAGCAAGGCGATGGCCTCGAAGTAGGCTCAGGACAACAGGAGACTCAAACTGAGATCGACATTGGGGATGTTCCGGAATTCGAAGACGGGGATTCAGATGCTGGTGTACAAGGAAGTGGCAAGGACCCTGAGGATTCCATACTCGGAGCTGGTGGTGGCATCGGCGAGGCGGTCGAAGCACGGCGATAAACCCGTCGATCCTGTTGGTGGGTCCGAGAGCGATGGAGAGCCTTTGGAAGGTGAGGACAAACCCACCGACCCTAACGCTGGATCTGTTCAGAGCGAAGACAAGCCGGCGGGTCCCACTACCGGAATTGATCAGGACATCGATGACCAACTGGTAACTGAGGGCAGTGGTTCTACAGCTCATCAAGATGACCTAGAGCCAGGCTCAGGACAGGAGGAAAATGAAACAGATGCCACTGAGGACGTCCTGGGGCTCGGCGAGCATAGCCCAGACACTGGTATCCATGAAAGTAGCGAAATTCCTGAGGAGGGAAGCGGAAGTGACGATAAGCCAAAAGATCCCAATGTTGGATCTGTTGAAGGTGCTGAAGGGTCTACCGTGGGTGAAATTCAGTCGGTAGAGGGCGAGGATAAGCCGGCAGTGGGTGATCACAAACCTATCAGCCCCGAAGCTGGAGCCGGTCAGGGGGTTCCTGACCAGGTGACAACAGATGGCAGTGAAGAAAAGCCGTCTCAGGATGGCGATGGTCTGGAGCTAGGATCAGGACAGGAAGAGCCAGATACAGATAATAATATTGAAGATGTCCTTGGAGTTGGAGATGTTGAGACCGATCCTGGTGTCCAGGGAAGCGGGCAAGGCCCCCAGGATCTACCCACTGGGCCTGAAGAAGGAAGTGAAGAGAGTACCGACAAGGGCAGTGGGGAGGCGGAAGAGGGCGTTATTACTCCCACGGATCCAAACGATCAGACCACCATCGACACACTCGTGACGGACGCCACTGGCTCTCAACCTCAGCAAGTTGATGACCTAGAGCCAATCTCAGGGCAAGACGGGATCCAAGCTCCAATCGACACTGATGGTGTTTTGGGAGGCGCCGAGCCAGGTGCTGGCACCGCGGAAAGTGACGAAGTCCCTGAGGGTGTCTCTGAATCTGAAGAGGGCGTTGTACAGATCCCCGAGGGGAGCGAAAAGCCTGTCGAGGGTATCGAATCTCCATCTACTCCTGAATCGTCTTCTACCACTGGCTCAACTGAGTCAGAAACAATGATCGTCGACCCTGAGTCAGGGAAGGAGACTACCGACAATGGTATCAGTGCTGTATATCCAACTGAAGAGGCGGTGGATGGATCCACCAGCATTGGCATCTCTCCGGGAAATGTTGAGGAAGGGACCGGCCAGGACGGGATCGTTGTTGTCATCGAGAACGAAACCCCAGCGCCTCCAGAAAGCTCTTCTTCCGTGATCGAGGATTCAGAAAGCCAGAACACAGCCCAAGGGGAGCCCGGAGTACCTGTTACTGGAACCTGCACCGGACCCAACTGTCCTGCTGGTGAGGATGGAACAAGCACTACTACTACTACTGTGGTAACATCTGAGATCCCGGAAGGAGGAGAAGGACAGCCGGGAGACGTTACCACTGGAGTCATTGCGGGAGAACCTGGCACTGAGTGCACTGGACCCAACTGCCCTACTGGTGAGGATGGAACGATCACCACTTCCACTACTGTGGTAACATCTGAGATCCCTGAAGGAGCAGAAGGACAGCCGGGAGACGTTACCACTGGAGTCATTGCGGGAGAACCTGGCACTGAGTGCGCCGGATCCAACTGCCCTACTGGTGAGGATGGAACGATCACCACTACCACTACTGTGGTAACATCCGAGATCCCGGAAGGAGGAGAAGAACAGCCGGGAGACGTTACCACTGGAGTCACTGCGGGAGAACCTGGCACTGAGTGCACCGGACCCAACTGCCCTGCTGGTGAGGATGGAACGATCACCACTACCACTACTGTGGTAACATCCGAGATCCCGGAAGGAGGAGAGGGACAGCCGGGAGACGTTACCACTGGAGTCACTGCGGGAGAACCTGGCACTGAGTGTACCGGACCCAACTGCCCCGCTGGTGAGGATGGAACGATCACCACTACCACTACTGTGGTGACATCCGAGATCCCGGAAGGAGGAGAAGGACAGCCGGGAGACGCTACCACTGGAGTCACTGCGGGAGAACCTGGCACTGAGTGCACCGGACCCAACTGCCCCGCTGGTGAGGATGGAACGATCACCACTACCACTTCTGTGGTGACATCCGAGATCCCGGAAGGAGGAGAGGGACAGCCGGGAGACGCTACCACTGGAGTCATTGTGGGAGAACCTGGCACTGAGTGCGCCGGACCCAACTGCCCCGCTGGTGAGGATGGAACGATCACCACTACCACTACTGTGGTAACATCCGAGATCCCAGAAGAAGGAGAAGGACAGCCGGGAGACGCTACCACTGGAGCCATTGCTGGAGAACCTGGCACTGGGTGCACGGGACCCAACTGCCCTACTGGTGAGGATGGAACGATCACCACTACCACTACTGTGGTAACATCTGAGATCCCGGAAGGGGGAGAAGGACAGCCGGGAGACGCTACCACTGGAGTCATTGCGGGAGAACCTGGCACTGAGTGCACCGGACCCAACTGCCCCACTGGTGAGGATGGAACGATCACCACTACCACTACTGTGGTAACATCTGAGATCCCTGAAGGAGCAGAAGGACAGCCGGGAGACGTTACCACTGGAGTCACTGCGGGAGAACCTGGCACTGGGTGTACCGGACCCAACTGCCCTACTGGTGAGGATGGAACGATCACCACTACCACTACTGTGGTAACATCCGAGATCCCGGAAGGAGGAGAGGGACAGCCGGGAGACGCTACCACTGGAGTCATTGCGGGAGAACCTGGCACTGGGTGCACCGGACCCAACTGCCCCACTGGTGAGGATGGAACGATCACCACTACCACTACTGTGGTAACATCCGAGATCCCGGAAGGAGGAGAAGGACAGCCGGGAGACGCTACCACTGGAGTCACTGCGGGAGAACCTGGCACTGGGTGTACCGGACCCAACTGCCCTGCCGGTGAACATGGAACGACCACCACTACCACTACTGTGGTAACATCTGAGATCCCGGAAGGAGGAGAAGGACAGCCGGGAGACGCTACCACTGGAGTCATTGCGGGAGAACCTGGCACTGAGTGCACCGGACCCAACTGCCCTGCCGGTGAACATGGAACGACCACCACTACCACTACTGTGGTAACATCTGAGATCCCGGAAGGAGGAGAAGGACAGCCGGGAGACGCTACCACTGGAGTCATTGCGGGAGAACCTGGCATTGAGTGCACCGGACCCAACTGCCCTGCTGGTGGGGATGGAACGATCACCACTACCACTACTGTGGTAACATCCGAGATCCCGGAAGGAGGAGAGGGACAGCAGGGAGATGCTACCTCTGGAGTCACTGCGGGAGAACCTGGCACTGAGTGCACCGGACCCAACTGCCCCGCTGGTGAGGATGGAACGATCACCACTACCACTACTGTGGTAACATCCGAGATCCCGGAAGGAGGAGAGGGACAGCTGGGAGATGTTACCACAGGAGTCACTGCGGGAGAACCTGGCACTGAGTGCACCGGACCCAACTGCCCTGCCGGTGAACATGGAACGACCACCACTACCACTACTGTGGTAACATCTGAGATCCCGGAAGGAGGAGAGGGACAGCCGGGAGATGTTTCCACTGGAGTCACTGCGGGAGAACCTGGCACTGAGTGCACCGGACCCAACTGCCCTGCCGGTGAACATGGAACGATCACCACCACTACTACAACAGTAACCTCTGAGAGTTTGGAAGGAAGCGGAGGGCAGGCACAATCCTCTGCATCCCCAGGGGATGTGGGGGGATCCACAACCACCACCACTGTCGTCACCACCGAAGGGGGCGTCGAACAGTCTGGGATCGCTGACCAATCAACGGCTACAGGAGCTGGCTGCACCGGCTCCAACTGTCCCGCAGGCGCAGGCGGGTCCACGACTGTTACCACAACTGTCGTAACGTCAGAGACGGCTGAGGGAAGTGAGGACCAGTCTGGAACTGCAGTCATTGAAGGATCAGGAGCCTCAGGAGTCTTGTGCAACGGACCTAACTGCCCTGCCGGTGCTGATGGATCCACATCCACCACGACCACTATCGTGACCACCGAACAAGGTGAAGGACAGGCTGGACTCGACGCCGGCCCCTCTTCATCAGGTGTTGGCTGCTCGGGTGCAAATTGTCCCGCTGGCTCTGATGGATCCACGACAACCACCACCACAGTTGTCACTGTTGACGAAGGGAAACCTGGGTTCGGTGCTGGTTCCTCCACTTCGGGTGCTGGATGCACGGGTACAGACTGCCCAGCTGGTGCTGGTGGGTCCACAACCACCACCACCACTGTCGTCACCACTGAGGGAGGCGAGGGACAGCATGGATCCGGAACTGGTTCCTCCACCCCAGGCGCTGGCTGCACTGGCGCAAACTGTCCTGCTGGCAGTGGCGCCATCACCACAACGACCACCACCACAGTCGTCACCACCGAAGGTGGCGAGGATGGCGAGGGCGCAACGACCATCACTGAAACCACTGAAGTCTCTGAGGGCTCTGGCGGCACCGGACCATCGGGCACGATTACTGGTGACGCGGCTCAGGGCGAAGGCGCGTCGGGCACTGGTGGCTCAACCACAACTACAACCACCACTACCGTGGTGACGGAGGGAGGCGCAGGCGCAGCTGCTCCAGGCTCTGCCACTTCCACCAGCACAGTGATTACCGATGGAGGAGAAGGCTCAGGGGGCGAGGGTGACTCCTCGACTTCCACCACGGTGACAGAAACGACCGGCAGCAGCGGCTACCTGCCGACGGGCGAATCCAGCACAACCTCGGGTGACCACTCAGGTGGAGGCTCCAGCACCTCGGTTATCACTGGTGGTCAGGGCGGTGGTTCCGGTCAAGGTTCCTCCTCCGTTATCTCCGGCGGTGAGGGCAGCTACGGTGGCCTGGTTGTCATTCCCGGTCTCATGGTCGTCGAGACGACCACCACCACCGTCGTCACGACCACGAAGCCGAGTCCCAACAGTCTTTCCGGCTTCATCACCGTCACTACAACCACCACCGTGGTGGAAACGTTCGTGGCCTACCCGACCGGTCGCAACACCACTACGACGCAGACCACCGTGTCAACATCCACCCGGCCAGCGCAGCCGCCCGAAATCGCGGGCTTCAACGCCGGCGTCGAACCTACCTCCGACACCAGCCAGACGATTGTTACCACCATCACCGGCGCCGACGGCAAGAACTCGACCACCACGGAGACGACGGGCTCATTGCCCGGCGGCGCCCCGCAGACCCCCGGCGCCAGTCACGGTGGCGCGTTGGCGGATGGCGGCGGTGGGCCAGCCGTCTCTGGGGGCGCAGGTGGCGACCACAGCGGCGAATCCCAGATGATTTCTGTAACCGACGAGGTGCTTGATATGCTGGCTACCGTCAGGCCAGAGGAGTTTGAAAACGCCACAGACATCTCTGACGAGGAGGTGAACGGCGCCAGCGTCGGTGAAAATTTTGTTGACGGCGACGGCGCAGCAGTTGGCTCCGGTGCCTCTTCCCAGACCGGCAGTTCTGACAACGCCTACGGCACCGGCAGTGGTTCTGACTCCGACTCCGGCTCGTCGACCTCCACCTCAACCACGACATCGACGACGACCACGACGAACGTGTTCCTGGGGCCGGGCGCGTGCCTGTTTGACGGCAAGGTGTACGTGTCGGCGCAGCAGATTCCGCGTGACAACCCGTGCGACTTCTGCTTCTGCTTCCGCGGCGACATCATCTGCCTGCAGCAGTCGTGCCCGCCGCCGGTGCCTGGCTGTATGGAGCAGCCGATCGACGGCTTCTGCTGCCCGCGCTACGAGTGCGCCGTCGAGGAGAACGCCTTCAACCTGACCAAGCCGGAGTCAACCACCGCGAGCGCAGTCTCGGTCGAGACCGAGTTTGAGGTTCAGGGCTGCGAGATCCAAGGCGTTTTCTACCAGGTCGACCAGATTGTCGAGGCCGCCTCAGGACCGTGCCTCGAATGCAGGTCAGTAGAAAGTCTGGGTTCGATGTCGGTTCATATCATGAGATGTCAATGGAAATGAACAATTTGAAAATCCCATAGTTGTGGTTGAAATTAGTTGCGTTGTCTCCGTTCTATGGGCTCGTAATATGTACTTTGGTGTGGTAACACTGTTGTTCTAAATTTAAGCATATCGATAGCCTTTTTCCACTCCTCACAGACATTTTCTTTGGTCTTGTTCCTCATGCGGCCACCTAGCCGTCATATACTAACATGCAGTCACTTACTTGTCGTTTAAAAGGTGACATTATGAAAAGTAAAATGATAACTCACGATTAAGGTCGTGACAGAAAACTATGGTATTGAAACTGACCCTCCCTTTTACTACTTCAGGTGCGGCCAGAATGGCATGATGTCCTGCGACCCCAAGAGTTGTCAGCCCCAGACGCTGCTGAAGAAGATGATGATCAAGGCGGCGCAGAGGAAGAGATGAGCCAACGTCGGATGAACCGAGCGAGCGAGCGAGCGAGCGCAGACGGACGAGTGGAAGCAATCCGAGCGTTGTCGATGGAGGGTGCCAAAAGTGATCTTATGCGTCTCGAGGGTGCAGTGGAATTGCGTCATCGGATACCATATCAAAAGATATTGCGAGGACACAGTGAGGGAGATGGTTGCCACCGTGCGCACTCGTGCACGTGCTAGAGCTCAATTTGGAGACAGCCGGAGGCCAGCATTAATTTCTCCCAAGCTATCTCTCAGGCGAGAGACAGGCCGCTGGCCGTCGTGCCTTTTGTGCGTCAGTGATGCTTGGCATCACCGTCAGGATGAAGACGTCATAATTGCTGTGTGCTTTATCTTGCATACTTGTAACGAAGGATAGCGGCGGGCATTAATTTTGTAGTGTTTGAGTGGGTGAGTTCATTGAACTGTTTCAAGCTGATGAGACCTAAGATGATGGGCATACTAGTGCAGCAGTGGAGCGCTTCACTTCCTTTGTACATGTCAACTCCATATTTTTAAGTGAGCAGTCTTGTACACCATGTCTACTTTTGTACCATGTTAGGGCCCGGCTCGCCTTGCGGTGAGCCAATTGCGCAGATCGTGCTGTCGGTGCCGAGGGTTCGTGTGATACGTGAGCTGCGACGCGACGGTCGTCTGATGATCAGCTAATTTGCCCCGATGTCTGCCAGCGTGGCGGCCAGTCACGAAGACGGGCGGACGGCTGCGTCCGCCTGGCAGAGCGGGTGGAAGCCGCCAGTGAGCGGTGACAGATGAGGTGTAGCCTCTTGGTCACGGCCTCTGCGCCCTCGACTCCGCCGCTG